TCCCATGGGCCTGAGCCCCTTTACTTCCCCTACACCTGTCTTCACCTGGCCAGGCCCCGACAGGCCTGCTCTCGCCTCGCCATTGCAGGCCCTCTGTGATCCACTGAAGTGCCAGTGGGGGTTGGTGCACACCTGTCATTCTGCCCGCACCTCCGAATCACACCCGTGTGAGGGCTGGGCACAGACACTTGCCTGATGCTGGGCCAGCGCTGTGCCTGTTCCCTGCCACCCCTATGGGCTCAGTCTAGCCCTGCCTCGCCTCACTCTGTGACCGTGGGACATCTGATGCTTCCCCAGGCCTCAGCGTCTGCATCTGAAAACACAGGTGCTGGGAACAGCCCCTTCCCACCCTGTCCCTGGTCGGAGCCTCTGACTGATTTGAGCACATCGGGACCCAGGGAGCGAAGGGTGGGAGGGTCCATGCTTGCCCTTTTCCTCCTGTTACATTCGGTGAGCGTTTTCAGGCAGACGTCGGTGCCTGCCCCGCCGAGCCCGTTAAACCGGAACCGCCCCATCCCGCCCGGCACCCCCCGCTCTGGTTAAAACCCCTGGTTCCAGTGCTTCAGGAGGACTGTTTTTTTTCATTCGGGGTGCCTCACCCTGAATCAGGTGAGGGAGGGGTATTCCCGCGCCACCCTTTCGCCAGGGAGGCTGGGGATGAAGTGCCTCGGCCTCCGAGGTGCAGCGGGAGGCTGTGGTCAGCACCTCCCCCTGCTGGGAAGCTGGCCTCGCGGCCCCAAAAGGCTCTCGGATGTTGGGCCTTGCGCGCTCTGGCTTGAGAGGTCTGATACATCGGTTGCAGATCGTCAGTCGTAGGGTCTCCTGGCCAGGGGCACCCATCCGGGGTCTCTGGGAAAGCCCAGAGAGAGCCACTGATGGCAGCAATGTCTTTCCCAGGGAGGCCGTCCAGGCCGCGACGGCGGCCTGTGCCCACTAGAGGGCGCTGCGGCCCAGAGCCACTCGGCGGGGCTCAGCTTTGCGAACCCAAATGCTTTTTAATTGAAATTTTTTTTAATTCAAAAAGGATTTGCTGTTTGTACGCGAGTGCAGGTTTTCCTTATGCGGGAAACTAATGTCTTGAGTAAACAGATCTGGGCCCAAATCCACCTTCAAAGGTGCTTGCTGTTTGCCCACGGGAGTGAAAGGGCTTGCAGAAGCCGCCCTAGTCTCTTGGGCAAACACTTTGGGGCCAGGATCCCCGGGCAGAGGATAGCGTCTGTGGGAAGGGTTATCCGCAGCCTAAGGGGGATTATGTCGGGGGACATATGTTGAAATTTCATTCGGGGAGTTAGAGAAAACAAGAGGGGGCGGTCACGCTTTTCTCCAGCCGAGACAGCCTAAGAAGGGAGGGTACGAGGGCGGGGTGGGGGACAGCGATGCGTGCACCGTGGGGCTCAGGCCCCTTTGAGGGGGGCGGCGCTGTGCTCGGGCCGAGAGTCAGGAAGAGGCATTGTGTGCCCTAGGCCTCCTCCCTGCCTCCCCTGCACCCCGCCCCCCCAGAGTGGGAGAGAGACGTGAGTTCAGCAGTTGATCCCTGAAGGCCCGTCTGTGGTCCGCCTTGCCAGTGACCCTGGCCCCACTCCTGGCCACAAAGACTGGCCTTGGGACTCCGCACCAGGTTCTGGCCAGCCACATGCTTGCTCAGGCTAGGAAATGTCCTGTTTCTCCTCCACCCAACCGCCCCCCATCCCCACCTCACGCCCCCTGCCTGGGCTCACTCCTGCCAGCTCCCAGGTCTGCGGAAGATCCAGGCCTCTGGCTGTGGCCTTCTGGGAGCTACTGCCATCTCCCCTCATGGGCTCCCTGTACGGAGCAGCCCCCAGCAGCTTAAGGAGGCCTGACTGCCCCCCTGCTCCCCACCCCCGGGGGCCTGGCCCCGGACGTGCTCCCTCATTTGAGAGCTGCCCCAGCTCTGCTCACCTCTGCTGCTGCCCCAGGCCAGCAGCTCCCAGACATGGTCTCAGAATGGCCAGCGCGAACCTGCGTAGCCTCCACCCCACCCCCTTCGGTTCCCTGCCCCAGCCCCGCTCTTTGGCCCCCTCCCATCCACATCTGCTCCCAGGCCCCATCGATCGGGCCACAGAATGGCCCAAACTGGTCCCCAGAGCAGCAGCAGCATGTCACCTAGAAGTTAGAGGAACGTGCAGCATCTCAGGCCCCACCCAAAGCCATCTGAGTCAGAGTCTGCATTTTAACGGGACCCCCAGTTTTATGGGCTTGCTGTCAATGGCTGCTTTCAGGCCCTGGGTGCCACCTGAGGTCAGGCTGCACGCACCTGTCCACACCTGTACCTCTCTCTGGAACCTTCGCCTACCTGGAACTGCTCCCGCTGAGGCCCTAGGTCCTCCCTGCTCTCCCTCCTGTGTTGCGCATTTGGGTTCATGGCCGGGCCCCGGCTGGTCCAGGTTCCTCCCCCAACAACCTCGTGGGCCCTCATCTGGCCCTGCACAGGGTGGAGTGGTGGGTGCCACCCGGAGTCAGTGAGGGAACGCTTCCTGCTGTGATGCTGCTTAGCAGCCACCAGGTGGCGCTGTCGTCCAGGGTTCTGCCCCAAGGCCACCTCCTCTAGCGCCGCACTGCGCTGGGAGCTGGCGTCCCCAAGCCCGGGGCCTGTGCCCTGGTCACCAGAGCAGGAAGGTGAGAGGGCTGGGGGCGGCTTTCATTCTCCCGAGTCGCTAGCAAATGTGCAGTGAGTGCTTGCCAGGGTCAGGCGGGCCCTTCCCCTGCTGCACTTCATCCCTCACCCACAGCAAGCCCCGGGAGAAGCGGTTATGACCCCATTTTTTTTAATTGAGGTATAATTGACACATCTTAGTTTCAGGGATACAACGTAATGATTCAATATTTGCGTGTATTAGAAAATGATCAGTCTAGTTAACATCCATCGCCATACAGAATTCTTTTTTCGTGATAACTTTTAAGATTTACTTTTAGCAACTTTCAGATACACAGTACGGCATTATTAACTGGTCACCATGCTGTACATTACAGCCCCAGGACTTAATTTACAGCTGGAAGTTGGTACCTTTTGACTTCCAGCGCCCATTCGCCCACCCCCCACGCCCTGCCGCGGGCAACCACCGGTCTGTTCTCTGCATCTATGAGTTCGGTTAGGTTTGTGTTTGTGTCTTTTTGGTTTTTTTAGATTTCACATCTAAAAGAAGTCATATGGTACTTGTGTCTCTCTGTGACTTATTTCACTTGGCATAATGCCCTCGAGGTCCTTCTGTGTTATCGCCGAGGCAAGGTTTCATTGTTCCCGTGGCTGAGTAATATTCTGCGGTGTGCATACGCCTTTTCTTTATCCATCTCTGTAGTGACGGACACTTAGGTTGTTTCCCTGTCTGGGCTGTTGTGAATAATGCTGCGACGAACATAGGGTACACATGTCTTTTCAAGCTTGTGTTTTCATCTCCTTGAGGTAAGTGCCCAGAATCGGAATTGCTGGGTCACGTGGTAGTTCTGTTTTTAATTTTCGAGGGCCTCCAGGGTTTCCACAGTGGCTGCTCCAGCTTACAGTCCCACCGGCAGTGTGTGGGGGTTCCCTTTTGTCCACGTTCTCCGCGACACTCCTTTCTTGACGTGACCCCACGTCGGAGGTGAGCTCCCTGGGGTTCAGAGAGGAGAGGCCTGCCTGGAGTCACCCAGCAACAGGTGCTGTTTGTAGGGGCCACAATCTTCGCAGTGGCTCCAGTGGCTGCTTGAGGCTGCTTGCCTCTGCTAGTCACACAGGAACGGG